CTCAAAACCCCCCCCCCCCCCCCCCCCCCCCTTTACTTATTTCTGCAGTCTTGGTGTCTAACCTGATGTAGGCCATCATAAACATCAGTGTGAGGCCCATTTTTGTCTGTGATCATTTCATGTAATTATACAGCTCCCATCCTTATAGAAACCCTCTTTGGCGATTGTGATTGAATCTGTGCTCAGGTGGGATACTGCTGACCTGAAGTCTGTCTGGTCTCACAAGTTCTTGTTTTCTGGATAAATTTTTAATGTCTGTTATTAGGATTATGCATGTGGCAGCTGCTACACAGAAATAGCATGGAACCTGCATAAAACTCTGAACATTGAGGACACATTCCATTAACATGGTTGCCACTCCAAACCTTAAAGGGATAATAACTCACATTAATATCTACAAATCCATTATCTTCTTATTACGGTGTATCTTTTTTCTACTTAACGATATTACTCTATTCCAGACGCTTGTCATTTTTCTCATCCAAGCTTCCCTATACTAAGATGTCAATATACTTTCCTGACAGGAATAAGGCAATGTTTTACTTTGAAGAAATGGTGCATTGTCTACGAGTATGGGTCTATAAAACGATGCCTAAAAAATAAAAATTGGTTACCTTTCCCAGGCAAAGCTTTTATGATTAATCTAATTATTAAGAAGTTTTATTTTTTCATTTTTGCTATTTCTGGCTTTAGAAAGTGTTTGTAGCAGAAACATCTAAAATCCAAGATCGTCAACATTTTGTTTACAGGATTTGTGTTGCATTCACTTCTACTACTTTTCTTTAAAGGAATAATAACTCTTCATTTCGGCCAAAAAATGAATTTTCCTGGAGTAAACAACAATTTTCCCATACTTACCAATGGTTAATGAATCCATTTTTACATTCAAAGTTAGTCCCTGGTTTTTACTAAAAAGTTTGCTTTTTTTGTAATTATCTCTTAAGAGATTATAACAGAGTATAGTCATCAATGGAGATCACGTGGTCGAAAGACAAGCTCAGATATCAGAATAATAGCTATACCTGCCATTTTTGTGGTACAACAGAATATACTATATTTCTATGAGTTGTTCACAATGTTTTTATAGTGAAATATAGATCTCATACGAAGAGTTATTATCCGTTTAAGTCAATCTGGTTATCAGATGGTTAAATGTAAAGGTGTTTGTTCGATCCAAGTTTTTGCCATTGTGTGAACTGTCCTGCCACCAGCTAAGGATTTATTCAAAGCACCATATCGTTCAATCACTCCACTAGGTCGTCGTTATGGATGAACGTGCACATGCAATCTCATCCTTTATGTAGGCACACACGCTATGCTTCTAAACCTGAATATATACTGACGGCTCCAATGTTGTATTGTGAAAGAGAATATTTTATTAGTTAAAAAATCATGCTGTATACTGAATATATATTGACTGCTCCAATGTCATATTGTGAAAGAGAATATTTTATTAGTTAAAAAATCATGCTGTATACTGAATATATACTGACTGCTCCAGTGTTATATTGTGAAAGAAAATATTTTATTAGTTCAAAAAGTCATGCCATATGCTGAATATATACTGAGGTCTCCATTGTTATATTCTGAAAGAGAATATTTTATTAGTTTAAAAAATCATGCCATATACTGAATATATACTGACGGCTCCAATGTTATATTCTGAAAGAGAATATTTTATTAGTTCAAAAAATCATGCCATATGCTGAATATATACTGACTGCTCCAGTGTTATATTGTGAAAGAAAATATTTTATTAGTTCAAAAAGTCATGCCATATGCTGAATATATACTGACTGCACCAATGTTATATTCTGAAAGAGAATATTGTATTAGTTCAAAAAATCATGCCATATACTGAATATATACTGACGGCTCCAATGTTATATTCTGAAAGAGAATATTTTGTTAGTTCAAAAAATCATGCCAGGCAGATGTTTTGTGTAGATGATATCATACATGGATTTGACTTTGAGCAGATATGATAAGCGAGCTCTCTAGTCCAATTGAAGTAAGGGAAGCGAGTGCATCTGCTCATCTTGGAGTTCACCGACTGTGTTTTTATGTAAATTACAGGGTTTGATTTGGCACAAAACATGTCTCTTACATGTGATTATTGTCAACAGAGGCCTTGTATTCCAGGAAAATCTCTGTCCCAGGGTGTCATTTGAAAAAAAAAAAAAAAAAAAAAAAAATTTTCGCAGAAATTCTGTCCAGGAAAAACAAAGATTTTAGGTACTTGTATGTTCACTAGTCTCAATCCGTACATTTACCTCACCCCAAGTGATTGCTTATATCGGCAGACATGGGAAAAGTTTGGAGGTACTGAAATCTTGCTTTTCTGATGGTCAGGACCTGTGACCACCTGATATGTCCGACAGGCCAGATATGTCCTATGACTACAGAAGGGGCCGTAGCGATAGTCCGAAGGTTCATTGGTCCGAATGTTCACTATAGGACCTTCGAACCAATGCACCCTTGATTAAAAAATCGACGAAAATGTTACCACTTTTCGGACCAATGAACCTTCGGACTATCGAGACGCCCCCCTACAGAAGGCCAGATATGTTGGACACAACTGGCTATTTTTTGTCAGCCATATCTGGTCTGTTCTCTGGTCGTAGGACATATCTGGCCTGTCGGAAATATCGGGTCAGCACAGGACCAGTCCAGCAGTTTCCCTATGTCTGTATCGGTACCCCAGTCCACATCTGCCAAGGCCTTTTCTGCAGCATTTATTATGGAGCACTTGTCCTTACCTACTGCTCAACCTGACAAATAACAGAACACATGAATTTAGGAGTCTTTTTGGATGCAAATCTCTGTTGGAGTTTTATTCTGATAGATTTTTGAACCACTAAAGCTGCAAAACACCCATAGGAAAACCCATAGCAAATATGGCCTGGTTTTTTTTTTCCAGAAAATTTTGTCTAAGGACAGGCAGCATGAAGCCATATTGATACTTTTGATTAAAACATCAAAGTCTGATGCAAATGGCATGAAACCATGGCAACAAATGACCTTGGGCCTAGCAACAAATGGCCTTGACACCAATTCCTAGAATTCCCATCAAACCCTGGATTTAAAATCCAGTATATATTTAAGCCAAAAATAAAAAAATAAATAAATCATAATTTTGAAAAGCAAATCAACATTTTAATGCAAAAGGCAGTGATGTCTAATTTTGCATCAAAATTATTTGCCTGTTATATTGAAAAAAAAAAAATGAAAAGCTATCAGTGTTGAAACATAGAAAAGCTTCTTTTTTGTTAGATTACAATGAAAAATCAAGCATGCTAATGATTTTGGCACATTGAAGTTGGTCTGTTACTATCATCCCTTTTTTCTTGCAGTGCTTTTCTGCTATAATATTCCTGGAAACCTATTCTCCTAAATTTAATTCCATGTACTGTACTTAACCAATGCGACAACACTCGCACCCACGCACATGCAAGTATGCACGTGCACACACACACACAAACACACCACATTAATTCCCTTGGTTGTTAGATCTTTGATGCCTTTTAAGAAATCTGATCATTCCTCATAGTGCATTTTATTTTTTCCTGAAAGAGTTATTAGGCAGTTAAATCTTGTCCCTCCCTCCATTTTCCTTACACTAGCTTGGCATTAAAAAACTAGCTTAATAGTCTATCTGTTTGGGTAGACATAGACTAAGTTCCTACAGATTTAGATCGATCCCTCTGGATCGACCTAACTCCCGAGGGGTTAACGCTAAATTGCTGTCAGCTTCCGGGAGCCGAGGGCGCACAAAAGTTTATTACCCCCTTATAGCTTATGGTAGGCAAGACAGACATTTAAGCCGGTTAAGCTGACAGTTATCTAGTGAGACTCCCCAGGGGGATAGATCGATCTAAATGTCTGTGGGAATGGTCTCATAGTCGGTTTTGTGTAGTTCAGAAAGAAAGTGTTTTCATCTCTTTTTGCTTTCTCTTGGCATTGGCATTTCAGGTGTCTTTTGGAGCTCGGCATTGAAGATGTAAATTGATATTATTTCAAGCTTTAAATCATACAAACGCGCTATTAGAGAGAATTTAGCTTTTTTTTTTCTTATAAGGTGGACCAAGAAAAAAGATCGGCATGGAAAAATGAAAATACAAAAAGGTTGCGTCTGATATTTTGTTCTACTGGGAAATATTCAATAAGCAAGCCTTATCTATGTTTTTGACAGTGTATTGATTATCAGTAGTTCAGTAGGTGGATGTGGAGGGGGGGTGCGGTGAAGGATCAAATCAGAAATCTCTTTTCTAGAGACTTTTTCTTTATCGTCTTTCAAAGGTCAAGGATTGAAACAACTTAGTAACGCAATGAGAGGCCTGTTAAGATGGATTTCTGTTTGAATTTGTTTTTTTTTTTCTCGTTTGTTTCTGATCACGAATAGGCCAAGATATTGATTTTAGGGAATAGGGTTGAAATGGAGGAAAAACTATTTTTTCTTCTAAATGAAGTTGTCTCCAACCCGTCCTTGTTCTTGTGAAGTGGATGTCGCTGCTTACACTTGGATATAGAATTTTTTTTACAAATAGTGGCATATCAGACATGCACTGTGACAGATAATCAAGCTCAAATTTATATGTGGCAGATGTGTAAGTGAGGTACACAATGTCTGGACAACTATAGTACTCCATATCTGCCATATATGATATAGATTTATTACCCTATCTCCCAGAGAATTAACTTGACAGGCAAAAGAAAGCCCATTGGTTGGGAGGTTCTGAATATATTTTTTTTAATCTGAGAATTTGCACTGTTTTTCCAAGTTTAATTTAAGAGAAACATTCTGAAATAATGGCAAAGGAAATAGTGTATATGTAAAGGAAAAAATGAAGATACTTCATTTAGCACTAAAATGTTAACAGATACATTTAAAAAGCTCTGTACACTAATTTTTATGTACACGTACATGTGCAACATACATGGTGTTAATAAAAAGCTATTAATCTTTTTGTTAATCTAATTATTATCTCTCTCTCTTTCAGATATTATGGAAATTCCTGAAAACATCAAATTCTGCAAGAATCTTCAAGTGGCTGATTTTAGCAGCAACCCAATTTCCAGGTATGATGCAACCATAACGACAGGCTTGTATGTGGCTTGTATGTTTGAAAATGTGTGAAATAAGATTGGGTTCCCATAACTAGATCAATCAAGCAGGATCGTCCATTTTCACAGGGTTTATTGCTAAATTGCTTTCAGCTTAAGTGGCTTATATGTCTGGCACGCCTACAAAAGCTGCTAAATGATAGTTAATTACCTCCTATTGGCTTCAGTAGGTGCGACTGAACTATATCCAATGGGATTCTCGCTAAATTGCAATCAACTTAAGCGGCTAAGATATAGTTCAGTCCAAAGTTAGTATGATCGGGTCTAGCAATGGTCCCTAAGATTGGTGATCCACATGAAGATGTTTGTGCACGTGGGTTTTGCATACATATGCATGTGTGAGAACATGTTAACGTAGGTATCTGTGTGTGTGTGTGTGACCCCATTTCCAGAGATTGGATCGATCTACTTAAGATCGACCTAACTCCCTGGGGGTTCACGCTAAATAGCTGTCAGCCGAGCGGACACGAAAGTTAATTACCCTCTTACAGCTTGTAGTAGGCGGGACGGACATTTAAGCTGGATTATCTGACAGTAATCTAGTGAGACTCCCCGCGGGGATAGATCGATCTAAAAGCTCTGGGAATACAGCATGTGTGTGTGTGTTTGTGTGTGTGTGTGTGCGTGTTGGGAAATGCTACTGTTTTTTCTCTTTGTATATGCTGCCAGGTTTCTGTATTTATGATGCCCTACCCAGGATTTTTACATCAAATCTTATTTTCCTTAAAAGAAAAAAGTAATTTTCTCCCACTCACCTATAATTGTTCACCCGTCATTTAAAGATCACCATGTTTTGCTGACATTTCAGAAGGAAATATTGACATCAGGTGCTTTTGAGGGGTTTTATCATTTTTTTAAAGGTCTGGATTGGGAATGATATGTAGCTATGCAGTGGTAAAAATATCACTTTTGAGCATTTTCTGTCTTGAACAGTCTGTCTGTAAAATCATGAAATTATTTAACTGGTGCATTTTAAACTTTTTTTATGGACAGCTCTCTTAATATTTCTCTCAACCCAGAAACAAACTCGTTAAGACAGAGAAAATGGAATATGTATATCAGCTAAAGCTGAGACTAAACCTACAGAATAATCAAAATTTAAACTTTAAGATTATCAAATCTGCTTTAAAGCATACTTGAGTATATTAAATTAATCTAATTAATTATTAAAGGTGGCATTTTTGGAAGCAAACAGCGTATAGAATTTATCCCCATCAGTTCTTTGTCGAAACTGATAGCTGATAATGCTACTCTTGCATGTATTTCACAATTATTACTAACGGCAAATTTTGGAAGGAAAAAGTGATGGTATTAAGATTCATTAGTAACCTAGCAACTGGTGAAGCTTACATCAATGTGTTCACATTGTCTTTTTTTTATGCCCCAACACATAGTTTAAGATTAGGATTTTTTTTTTTTTTTTTCTTTTTTTT